AATAAAAGCAGATGATGTTGTCAAATATAAATAGGAAAATATTTTTTGTGTGTGGGTGGGGGCGGGGAGAGAGAAAAACACACCATTAGCTTTCTTGGCATGATCTTTCTGCCTTTTAAATTTGGTTGCTAAGAAATAAGTGCAGATTCATATGCTCTGCAGAAAGGAAAAACTTAGGTCACTGACAGGAGACTATGCATATTGTGCCACCCTATTTGTCACTGAACCATGACAACAAGGTCCTACCCTGATTTAGAAGTCATGTGTTAAACTTCCAAATAGAGAATGTGGCTCTGCCTCCTGGAGAGCCATCGGAACTCTAAAATTCCTAGAGAGAAGATGGGCTTTTCATTTGCTAACCAAGTGAAGCTATGGAATCCTCTGAAGTGTGAAGCCAACCCAATTTGACAAAACTCGGCCTGTCACCTTCTTTGCAATATGGGCCTTCTAGATGATTCTGGGTGTTTTTGTGAGTTCTTATAGAAACCTCACCTTAGTGCTGTACTGTGCCCACAGTTGCCCTGAATTATTATTATTAATGATATGGTGGAGCTGAATCCCTCTTCTTACCGGTAGGGCTCACTGGCGTTTAGTCTCTTCTAAAGGACTCAGGGACTTTTGCATGTCGTGTGGAATTTGGTAAATGGAAGGCAAGATGATGTGAAGATTGTAAGCAATTGTAGTTTTTGCTCAAAGCAGGAAATCTAATTTTAACTCTTATTTGTTCAATAGATATGCTGCAGCAGTTTTTGCATGCTGTTATGTTTTTTTAAAAGAGATTTTAAAAAGCATTAAAAACAATACAGAATTTCAAAACAAGATGGTAGGAAATCAACAATAATTGTTATATTGGGTGTTGTCATCTTCAAAGTAGTTGTTCAGATTACCAGGTATAGGCACGCAAAATTGATGTAAAAATTTTTTTTCCTAGATGTCCTTCCGAAGTCTCACGGAATTATAGGGGGCGCTTTAGGGAGGGGATTGGCTGATAGGGCCATTATGGCTGACTTGCTGTGGGGCACTGTGGGCGTGACCTCTGGAAGGTTACATCTCCCTCCCAGCTCCTCTCCTTGACTCTCTGCTTCCCCACCGCCATGATGTGAGCGCTTCTCCCTCTCCTGTGCCCTTCTGACATGCTCTCCTGTCTTAGAGCCAGCGGACTATGCATTGAAACCTCTACAGATTATGAGTCAAAGTAAACCCTTTCTCTTTCAAATTGTAGGTGGCTGGATATTGTGTCTCAGTGACAAGGAAAGTGACTGAGACTCATGCTGGGCCAGTGATCAACATAATTCATACAGACCGGACCTCAGAGAACGTACTGTGGAATGGGAATAAACCTTTAATGGAGCGGTTATGGGTAGACGGGTGATAACTTATGAAGGGAAGGAATAGAGAACATCAAAAACATGTTGTAAAGGAACTAACTGGTGAGGGTATCAAAGAGACATCCCTTAAAAAGCAACTATATAAGTCATTGGCTCAGGACATCAGTGACTTAAATGACTGCCTTATTTGGCTTTGAAAGTGAGCCCGACCAGCTGAGTGAATTCCACGGCACTGCTTCACCATGAGATGGTTCTTATGTAACTCTGTGCTCTGTGTCTAGATTAGGAATAGATATTTGGTCATTGCCCTGGTTTTATGGTATATAGCTCCTAAGCCCTTGGGATTTCCTCATAGGAAGACCTTGACATTCCCAGTGAGCCCTTCAGCCATTCCTGAGTTAGTGCAAATGGAGTGATTCATGTTGAGCCCTTAACTTCCAGATGGGGACTTGTCCCCAGAGGAGTCAACTCTGTGATCCAGGGGTTGAAGCGTTCAGTCTTACCCTGGCCCTTGAAAGAGAAGAGGAACTGGAGGTTTGCAGTCACTGGCGGCCAGTGAACTAAGCAATGATCCCTATGTAATGAAATCTGTAAAAAAAAATCTAAACCAAAGGATTCAAGTAGCTTCCAGGTTGGCGACCACATGGAAGCACTGGGAAGTGGCACACATGGAAAGGACAGGAAAGTTACCCTGGTACCTTGCTTTACACATCTCTTCCATTTGATGGTTCCTGAGTGTATCATTTATAGCAAACTGATAAGCAAAGTGTTCTTCTGAAGTTTGTGAGTCATCCTAGTAAATCATCAAACCTGAGGAGGAGGATGTGGGAACACCCACATTGGTCGTCACATCAGACAAGTGTGGGTAGCTGGGTACCTGGAACTTAGGATGGCATTGAAGTGTGGGCAGCATTGGGGCACCTAGCCATCAAGCCTGTGCAGTCTGGCACTGCCGCCGGTAGTTAGTACAGACTGACATTGAATGTTAAGGCACCCAGCTGATGTCAGAGAAAGTATTATCAGAAGGGATATGCCATTATGCTTCCCCAGAAGTAAACGAGACATTTTTCCTCTCTGGTTGAGGAGCAAATGGCAATTTATGATTTTGACCACCAGCAGTCACTAACCAAGTTGGAGATATGAGTTTGGATTAACACTGAGGTGAAAGTAGACATTTTACCTGAAACAGAAGTGATGTAATAGCCTGTTATTTCAAAACAGACCTGTTTCTCTCTTAGAGGTCTTGCCCAATGCTTCATCACTTCCCACACCTTCTTCCAGGGAAAATAGAAGTTGGAAGAGATAAGCAGTCTTGTCTGGCTAGAAGGTTTTCAAAGGCCTCTGGGTCGGGCAGGTGGGAGCAGCTGTGCTTCCCTGGCACTGTGAGCCCCAGATTTTGAGTGGCCATATTGATTCCTTTCTATTTCCAAGTTCCCGGTATACAGACAATGTGATCCATTATTGGTCCATGACTGAAAGGTAGATTTGAGAAAGAATTTTGTGCCCAAGTTGTTTTATCGCAGTGAAAGGGATTACTAATGTACTGTATTTGGGCCACATATTATTGTCTGTGGACTCCTGGGCCTCTGGGCTTTTTTGAAAAGTTCCTTTTGACTGTGTAATAGGACTTAAATGTTATAGGTAGTCAGTGACCTTGCAACCCTTGCTGCGATGTTTCCTTGGAACCAAAGTGTTGTAAATAAAGCTGACTTCCTAGGTTGTTTTGCTCTAGTCGAAGATAATTTCCCAATTGGCAAAGACATCTTCTCTTTAAATTATTTTACCAGAAAAGAATTGGCCTTCTTTGTAAGAGTTCCCCTTTTCATTTGTCGCTGTAATGATTTCAGAGCGTTTCCACCGTATTTATTTTACCATTAGTATCAACTCTTTGGCTGGAATGCCTGTGTTTTAAAGCTGAGAGGATGAGGGTCTAGATTTAAGGCCACGCAGATGATGGTGGAGGCAGACCCTGGACTCACTCAAGTGAACATTCACCACTGTACCACTGTGGAAAGCCAGCCACTGGTGGAAGCAGTGGAAAAATGATGTGAGACTAAATTCACTCAGCACTTGGCCCCTGGGGCTTGTGAACAAAAGACAGGAAAGTAAATTAAAATGGAGACATAGCTTTTACCTAAAGTGGCTTCAGAACATTTACAGGGCAGCAGATCAGCAAGTAGAAAAAATCTCTCCGTATACCTAGGAATGACTGTGATAGCAGTGACTGCTGCAGATCAGTAAGTGAAGAAAACTTTTGCAAAGATGCCCCATGTTTGTGAGCGCGGACTCGGTAACACATAGACAGAGGCAGAGTAAATAAAGCTTTAAACATCAGTATTCTTCCCTTCATAGCAGTGGTTTAGACTATGAAAGTCCACAGCACAGCCGGCATGATGAGGTGAGAAGTGACTGTAATCTAACTTGTGGAGTTCTTGAGTAGCCACAGCAACCCACACCCACATGGTGAAGTGTCCCAATGATCAGTGGTCACTGTGACTATTACCAGAGCTTTTGGGTGGAAGCCCCAGCTCCCAGGGTCCCAACAGACCAGGCTTGGCCTCCTGTCCCCAAACTCCAAAGAAATGAGCAGTTGTGCAGGACAGAGAAATAAGCATAGCCACGTGAGAAGAGATACAAAGGCTCTCAAGGTCTGTCTTCAAGGTCCTGACAGGAAATTTGAGCTTTTATAGCAAAGACAAGGGTTGGAGGTTTGCATAGCTGGCAGAGTAGATAATCCTGGTGAAGCTGTGGTCTGATAGTTATCTCAAGACTGGTTCTGCAAGGTGGTTCCAGGGAAGACCGTAGGGCTTCAGGAAGAAATCCAGTTCCTATGAAGTGATTACTTAAGGGACAGCCTCAGTTCCACCATGGGATAATTGCTCCCACTCAGAAGGGAGGGGGGTGTGATCTTATCATGGGTTGATTCCAGAAAAGCTCTGCTTTTCCTGGAATCTCAGGGGACTGCAGGTTTAGGACAATGCCTGTAGATTTCTAGGACAGAATCTTGTGCAAGCTGGCAATTGGATATCCCAACAAATCTTGAAGATATAATAACTACTCTTACAATTATATCCTCAGTCTTAAAGGGGGATGAGATAGGCTAGATACATTTAGTACTAATAAACATTGTATTACTGGTTTTTAGACAGACACTCATGTGACTAACCTTCATACATGTAGAACTAAGCAGGGATCTGACCAGAGTTTTAAGGTAATAAAGGAAACAGATACAAAATGAAGGCAGACATGCCCAGTTTTTTTCTGATTTTAGTTAACCATTGGGCATCACTGGGCACAGCTACTAAATCCCTTGTTATATGGAATATACTGACCAAGCCTTGTGCAGCCTTTGGGAGTCAAATCCTAGCATTCCTGGGAAGGAAATGAGCATAGCCACATGCTGTGCTATCTTTCAACTACCCAAGAGCCTAAAGGTAGGAAGCAACAGAAGGGCCGTTTCCCATTACTTTCCATCACCCGGTCTCATAACAAATTGAGACATAGTCTTAATTCTTCCATACGCCTCACTGATGTTGACTTTCCTTCCTGTGACAACCCACCTGCATTTATTACGTTCCTGTCGACCTCCAGTGTACTGCAGTTCATGAGGAAGTAGAGAACCTATTTCTCTCTTATTAAATGAATTTTCATTTGACAGGGCTCACTGTCTCCCATGCGTGCTTTTGGTGGGGATTTTGACTCCACACATCCACAGAGCAAGGAAGAAACAAGCCAATCCTACAAAAATGAGGTGTTTATGAAAGTCTCTGGAGTTGATCTGTTTATTGCATGGAAGTGCTCAGTAAGTAAGTCTGTCACTAAGCCCAAAGGTTGTGGATGCTATCTTTGAACCATTTCCCAGCACATACATACGTGCACACACTCGCACACATGCACACACACACATACACTCAAGCATCTCTGCCCTGTGACCTACCACTTCTACAAAATAATTGTAGGTTTTAAGGACATATATTATGCTGTCTTTAATGCCTTCTGATAGGGAAAGGCTGCCCTTCTAAGCAAGGGGATTTGGTACTTCAAATCTATCTAAAGTTATTACTGTACTAAATGTTGTAAACGTGTGTATGCTTCAGTGGTTATGTTAGGGAAAAGAAACCTTATGTTCATTTACCTCAGTAGTCACTGCAAAATTTTTTACTATCTTAGCTTTATGTGTGGCTATTTATCTACAAAAAAAAAGACCTAAGCATTTTTTAACAAATCTGGGAAATTTATCATCTCTCCTAACTAAGTCCCTTTAATTCACAATCACAATCAGAATTGATAACTAAATATTTGGAATTTATTATAGTATACTATAAGTCATAGACAAAGCAAATTTGACACATTAAAATAATATTTTTATATGTTGGTATATTTTCTAGAACATTGAGGGCTCATATATTTTAAAGCACTACAAACAGTTTTCCTATTTTATATGATTATAGATTTTTGTGATAAAATACATATACCAAACTACACTATTTTAACCATTTTAAATGTACAATTCACTAGCATTAGGCAGATTCACACTGTTCTACAACCATGATAATTGTAGATTTTAAAGACAGCCCTTGGCTTGGGGTTCACTGGTTATATCTGACTTGTCCGCAGCAAAAATCTTGACTGAGATGACAGACATTGTGTCAAAAGGTGAAGATGACTTCACAGACCAAGCTTTAAATGATTAATCTTAGATAAAGCCACTGTTCTGTTAGTAAGTTACCATTTTAAGGGCTTAATTTATACCTACTTCTGTGCATTTAATTGCTTTAATTCTTAAAACAGTTTCATTCAGCAGAAGCCACCATTCTATTTTATAGATGAGAAAGGTGATACTCAGATAGCATGTCCACAATCCAGCAGGTAGTAAATGACAAAGACACAATGATCTTAGCAAGTTTGCGTCTCTCTTCCAGGTCTTCTAAATGTTCTTTAAGATTTTAGAGTAAGAACCAGGCCTAACATTGTAACTTAACATTTTGGCATATGATGTTTATTTAGCCATTCAAAATGAGGCTGTATTTATGTGATAGGAGATTTATTTTAACCTCTGTGTATGCCAAGAAGAAAAACCATGCAAAACATGGTCATTTACAGACAGATTAAACTTGAGTTATTCATCATGTTATTAAATTGGAGGGTACATGTTTCCCTGTATGAGGTTGTGCAAGCAGGATGCAGCATTGCTCCGGCTATCTATCAGGTCAATCTTTATTACTTAATAGGCAGGCAGGATGGAAGAAGCTCTTGTTAGCTCTGTTTTGCTAGAAGGAATGCCAAGTGATGAGCTAGAAAAGCAATGTAGATCTCATTTTTGAATCATTTCTTTTCTCTAAAAGATGAATTACAAATTTGACAAAGAGAGATGCTATATTCTATATAAAACTCCTTTTTATATAGCTTTTGGAGAAAGCTGTGCAGATGGCTCTTAGAGCTGGTGTGAATTCTGGGTTTGCTATGAGCTTGAGCAAGTTTTTTAATTTCTCTGATTCTCTGCTTTCTCACCTTCAGAACTGAGATCATAATACCCACCTCACCCAATACCGTTAGCCTTCCCCTTTCTATCTCCCATCATTCCTTTGCACTCAGTAGATAATTGTTGAGAATTTGTTCTGTTGCTGTCCTGCACATTCAGCTATTCTAAGAGCTCAGAGACAGGAAAGGATTTAAACAGATAGTTGTAACGTACCTTAATGGCAGTATAATATCCTTGCTCCCAAATGCTAAGGAAGTATGAAATTGACCTAGCCAGATCTGGTGATGTATGTGTGTAATCCCTGGACTATGGGAGACTGACACAGGAGATTGCAAGCTCAAGCCCAGCCAAGGCAATGTAGAGAGATCCTGTCTCAAAATTAAAAAAAAAAAAAAAAAATTTAAAGGGGCTGTGGATATAGTTTGGTATGAAATCATAGGTTCAGCCCTCACTAATGCAACAAAGTAAAAAAGATAAAGTATGGTGTGACTACTGATTTGGAGGAGCCAGTCAAGTAGCAGTGTTCGTTTTAAGTATCTTTTATGTTTCAGAGTTGTAGCTCATTGGGAAGGCCCTGCGTTTGATCCCCACTACAATCAATAAATACACATCTTTTGTGCTTCATGATCACTTAGCACCTGGTGAACATGAAGCCTATTTTTTGGTCAGAAGTTAGCTCAAGCTAACAAGTAGATTGGCAGTGCACAGCAATTTGATTTTTGTCATTGTGTCAAGTACTGTGTTATAGCAAATATAGTATTCTTTATAGTGATCACTAACAAAGCTGACCGGCTTTATGACCCTAAAACTATAGAAGGACATACAACATTGTCAACCTCATCATTGCTTACAGGGTTGTGGAATTTTAATATTTATGGAACATCTGACGTATGACAGGCCCTTTGAAGACAAGAAAGATCCTCACTCTCCTGGAGTTTATGGTTTTGAGGGAAAGTGGACAATATAATTAGGAGGCAGAGAACAGCACAGTATGCAACATCCTTGTTTGGGTGATGGCTTGCTGATTTCATCTGAGCGTTATTCCTGTTGCTTTATAAGGCTAATGTGTTATAAAGAAAAATTGTGAAGTAATTCAGTAAGATATTAAGGTCACTTAGGCATGCTGTGGCATTATGCAGTGGCCCATCACTGATTCAAAATGACTCACGGTCATTCTGATGCAGCCAGTCATGCTGAATTTGACAGCAGTTCTGCATTCCAGTTTGTGAGATGTCATGTTCACTGAGTAAGTTGGCAAGTATGAATTTTTCTTATTTCTTCCTGGAGAGTGAAGGCTTAGCCTATGCTGCTGATCTGTGCACCTGCCATGGGGTAATGAAAATGCCTGAGGCTCTGTCCCCACCACTTCCTTTGCCACCATCTGCGTGTACCCATTATGTTCACATTTTATGAGAGCCAGGCCTCTTCCATACTCCTGTTCCTAATTGGGTAATAGAACCTGTTCTGGCGTCATGTCATGTAATCATTCAGCAGTGACTCACTAAAATACTCACGGTGCACACTGCACATTACCAGACATGGGGTCACCCGAGGTGGGTGAATCAGTTGTTACTTGGGGCTCCGGTCAGGCTAAAGATTCGATATTTTGTCAAACTAATTCTTTAAATATTTGTTCACCAAGCACTCTGTGGGGAGAGGAAAGTTTAAGAGCCCCTCTAGTCTCGCCTTTAGCCACTTTCCAGGATCTGAACTGACCAGAGAGAAATAGCACTGAGAATCCTTGTCTTCCTTCCAGTGACTTCCAATGTTTTCTCTTGCATTTTTCAACAATTATGTTTATCGCAAGAAGTTGTACATGTACATAACCCATCTTAATCCTTTTTTTCATCCTGGCTCCTCCCATCCCTCCCTGCTCCTTCCAACTCTTGGTCTCCTCCCCATTTTACAAAAGCTCTGTTTCCATTTTTTTCTTTAACTCTTTTTTTCTGTTTCCTTCTCCCGCCCTCCCTCCATCTCTTATTCCCCTTACCATTTGGGAAAGATCTCGCTATTTCCTATTACCTGTCTTTTCTTTTTATTTTTATTTTTATTTTGGGTGAGTAGATGCTCCTTCAGACAATAATATTAAGTAAAGTAAATCATAAACAAAAAATTCAATATTGCATGGTTCCTCTTATATGAGAAACCTAAAATATAAATAAAAAACTTTTAATGTCTTCTGTAATTGAGCCCTGAAAATACATACTGTGATTGATTTCTGGGTCATAAATAAATAAGATATTGCCCCAGATCTCAGGGAACTCGAAGCAATTAATACACCATAAAACTTAAAATATTTTAAGAAAAATATTTCTAAATATGTCCCATAAACACAAGCAAAGGAGCCATGAATTCAGCCTGTGGTGGTCAGAGTGGCCCATGAGGGTGATTCCATAGGAACCTGAATGGGACAGATGATGAACGGCAGTGTCCTTCTTTTAGGACATTGGTTTTGAGATTTTCAACTTGATGAAATAAGAGAACTTAATATACCTACAACCTTGAACTTACAGATTGCACAAGGCAGAGTGAGTAAGTATGACACGACAGTGATTCCTGCCATAGCTTCACTCTGCCATAGCTGACCTGCGGAGCGCAGGCCTAGGGCTGCACATTTACCCTTTGGTCCTGTCACTAGTGATTCTTGACTGAGGGCTGGGGATGTAGTTCACTGATAGAACATTTGCCTAGTATGTGCGATGGGTTAATTTTGATTTCCGACACCAGAAAAAGAAATAAATCAATAATTCTTGGCTTCTTCGTAGATCTTTCCTTTTATGATTTTTATGTACCTATCACTATAAGAAATTCACAGGAATGGAAACTATTCTCAGATTCCAAAAATGCACAGTAGATCCTTGCTGTACTGTAGAGGAATGTATTTTATTAACCCTATCTGTGCTGACCAGAAGGAAGAAAGCATATCCAGACTTGTCTACTTTCACAGTAAAAGCTTTGGGATCTTCTGCTTTTCTATCAAAGATCAGATTACCATCTACTGTTCCTTATTCCTTGGTCACTGTACAGATTTCCTATGTCCCTTGTTGGGACCCTTCTAAAAGGGCTCTTATTTGAGAAAGAAGAGAATTCTCAGCATATGCTTGTTTTCTCCAAATCTTCCAGGGTACTTTTCTTTAAAGATTGTCCTAGAATTGACTTTTGAAGTTAAAACCCACATATCCTGGGCCCAACCTGTGGGGAGAGAAAATGTTTCTGAGGGGTAGATAAAGCTAGTTTGATGACACTTACTAATTAGCATAGCAGGCCGGCATGGAGCTGGTGATGCAGCCCTGTCTCCACAGCTGGGTCCCCTTCGTATCCTGCCTAGTGTGAATGATTTATTCTATTTAAGAAATATTGCCATTTAGCATTTTCACATTTCACACGTCCATCTTATTACTTTTGCTTTCTGCTGAAGGGAAAGAAAGAGGATAACTTTTGCTACAGTTTTAAAATTGGTTTGAACAATTTAGTTTTAACCTGGATAAAGAAACTGAGCTACATTGTGTTTCTTGGTAGCAATTGCTTCTCTCTGAGAGCTTTCATTAAGTTCTGCATTTATATCTTCTTAGCAAAGTATTCCTTTGGTTTCAATAAATTTGAATAGAGAAGAGGAATGAAACGCATTAATATACATGATGGGAAATATTCAACTTAATTCAAAGAAATGTAAAATAAAACAACAGTAATATCAGTTTTTATGTGTGGAATTAGCAAATGCTTTTTATTTTTTTTTAAATGATAATTCCTTAAAAAATGATAATTCCTATATCTATTGAGAGTGCTACTGGTACATTGTTCAGAGGAAAAAAATTACTGCAACTTTTTTTTGGGGGGGGGAATAAATTGATGCTGTATACCAAAGACTTTAAAAGGTTCATGCTGTTTGACCCAGTACTCATATTTTGGAAATTTGCACAAAAGAAATCATGACAGAGTATAATATACAGATGTTTACATCATTAGGAAAAAAAAGAAAATCTAAAGATTCATTAGGGGAATGATTTTGTGAACTGTGACATACCTGTGTATAAACTACAATCTTCTATCAAAAAGGATGTTTAGAAAAACTTTAACAATGTTAAGAAAGTCCATGATATATAAGGAGGCAAAAGCAAGTCTTATTATTGTATCATTGAATCAAACTAGCAGATCATCAGACAACAAAAATAATTACCAAACTGACTGGAGAAAACTATCCCAAATATTAAGTATTTTCTGGTCATTTCCCCTCTGTTTAATCCAAGAAGCATAGATATTTTCAGTGGGTTTTTTCTTTTACTTGTAAAATAACCAGTGCCTCAGATATAATACTTATTCTTTGTTAAAAATTTAATCACATTTTATGCCTTGTACATTGTCATTGTGAGGAGATTGTATGTGTAGCTTGTGACATGACTATTTATTTCTCTCCCTGGGTAATAGTTAATACCTTTTGTGAGAGTTCAGATGTTCATCCTTTTTTTAACATACTGACCTTTTAAAAAAGTTATCTTTTATATTTTGTAAAATTATTATACATGTTAGAAATTTTAAAGCCATATAAGTGAATAAAAAAATCTCATAGTTCTGTGATGCATAATATATGACAATATGTTTATGATTTCTCTTTAGGAATTCCTCAAATCAAAACTAATTGCAGTTTCTGGTTGACCAGCATTCATAGGGTAAGATGAATGTTTTGGATTGTAAACATATGGTAAAGACAATTGGTAGCTTGGGGCAAAAAATAAGTAAAAACAGAAAGAGATCACTATTCTTACAGACGTTTCAAGTAAAGTCCTTAGGGCATTTTTAAAAATAGGTATTTTAATTAAAATGCCATCTTCCTGTCCTTTGTGGGTTTTGTAAGCAGGAGATTATATACTGTATTTGTACATGTATGATACTTGTCACTTTTTTTAATGTTATAGAGCTAAGGAATAGTAAATATCCTCAAGAGACTTAAAAGCCCATGCCTGTGCCTTCCTGATGTTTTAAGGTAGCATCCCTAATGCATAGTATCAAGTTGCCATATTTCGGTGAGAGATGCCCAAAATTTCTTGACTAGCCAAGTCAGAATTAAACAAGCCCTATATTCTGTTGCTTCCTGCAGACATCATTCTCCTTTTGTAGTTGTGGAAAATTAATCTTGTTAGTTCTGTGGCAGAACTTTTGACACAGACATGATAAATGATGAATGTGTATACTCTGTTAAATAGTACAGCTCTCCAAGGTGAATACAGGGTGTGTCTTAAAAGTGTCATCTGGGGGCTGGGAATATAGCTCAGTGGCACAAGTACCTGCCTGGCAAGCAGAAGGTCTTGAGTTCGATTCCCAGTACCTAAAAAAAAAGTGTCATCCAGCAATGAACATATAATCAAGGGGACTCAGTGATGAGGACAGTAGGTCTGTTACATACTATATTCTGAATACTTTTCTTTTTGCAGGTAGAAGATGAAAATCTTTTTTTTTAATTGGGGAGGGTATATGTCTACATTTCCACTCTGATTCGTTGAGCTGACTGTAAACTTTTAAATGCTAACAGACCTTGCCACCCTCTACTTACAACTCTTCAGTGATTTTTCTGTCACTCCTGGATTATGTATTATTCAGACTCTTTACTTTGGCTGCAGGCTGTCACTCACTTCTCTCTAGGCTTCTGACATTCCAGCCAGAGTGGCCTCCTTTCTGATCCTCACACATCCTTCCCCTGTTATTTCTTCTCCCTGAAATGATCAACTTCAGCTTGGTCTTGTGACTGGCTCTGTGTTAATCTCTATTTTAATGGCAGACCCTCTAAGGTCTTCCCTGATCACGCCATCTAATGCGGCTTTATATTTGTGATGGTTAAGCCTAATCATCAGCTTCTTTACTTTGAATATTTAGATAACATGGTAACCTACTAACAGCATCAAAGAATTGAGGTATTTTCTTTAACATACGATTATCTAAATTAAATATATATTTCAGAGCCACAAGAAAGAAGAAATAACAAAACAATGTTCTTTAAGGTTCAAAATAACTCACATTTTGATAAGATTTCTGGAGTTGTTCCTGTGGTTTTAATTCATTCAGTAGCTATAGGTCCTGTTTATTCTATTTATTTTCTTCAGTCACTATCTCCTGGAGCTTCAGATGATTAGGGTGATTTTCCTAATACTTAAAAAGTTATTTATCATTGTTTTCCAGAACCATTACCCCTCTACAGCTTTGAATAGGAAATTGCTAAATGGTAGATACACATCTCTGGTCTTCTTTGGTTTTCTCTATTTATTTGACAATGATGTCAAGTTCTTTCCTTGAAACTCTACTTTATGAGTACAGAAAAGTGCATGGTTGCAATGTCAGCTACGCAGGAGGGTGAGGTAGGAGAATCACAGGTTTGAGGCTAACCAGGGCCACTTAGTGAGAGGCTAAAGTAAAAATAGCTGAAGGTACAGCTTAGTACTTCCTGGTTCAATCCCCAGTACTGGGAAAAATAAAATGTAAGAAAAGCTTCTTTATCTCAGTGACACTGCTTCTGTGTTCTCTTTTACATTTCGTCTACTGACCCTTCCTTATCTGGACAGAGATTCTGTTCTTCACCAGTGCCAGCCGGTGACTGAGGCACTTTGGACCTTCTGGGCACCCCGCACATACCATATGACACAACTGCCACAAAACAATGAGAAATAGAGAATTGTTGTTTAGCCACTAAGCTTTAGTGTGGTTTGTTATGCAGAATAAGAAACAGAACACCAAAATTGGCACTTGCTATAACAAAATATGTGGCACTAGCTTTGGAGCAGGTGGTGTAGAAGGCCGTAAGGGAGTAAGAATACTATTAATGATGAGTGAAGGTCAGTGAGGAAATTGCAACTGGAGGTTGTAAAATGGAACCTTTGTTTTAATACTGACAGAAAAATTACCAAAAGCATCACCTACAGTAACATGTAACATAGAAACAGTTATGTGTAACAACTAAGATGCAGGTAACATGTGTAACAGAACTATATTACATATGTGCAGCATAAAACAGAAATGTGTAACCTGTAGCATAGAAAAACTAACAAACTTGTGGATCTAAGATTTTTTAGCAGAGTATTTTGAAACCCTCTATGACCATAGTATTGTAAAAGATGGATTAAGAAGAAACTACTCACATTTTTCTTGGACTTTAGAGGAAATGTTTCTAATCCAGAATTTTCTCAGGTTGTAAATGAAACTATTACTCACCCCCAGCTCTTCCACACAACAAAAGTACTCAAGGAAAGAAATGGTCTCATGCCCAAAGATCAAATCTAGAGCACTACTGCCAGTGTAGCGTGACCTCAAGGTAAAAATAAAAAGGAAAGGCACAGCTGTAAGACCCTGTATTAAAACTTCAAAAAAATTTAAGGCTGTTCCTCAGCTAGATGGAAGAAAGGGCTTTTAAGAATCTCAGGGGCATTGTCCTATGCTGGACTTAATTTAGATGGCACAGTCATGGACTTTGTGCCTGACCTGGATGTCCTGGTGGGGTGAAACTTTTGGGAGAGGCCAATAGGCTTGTGTGCAGGAGGAACATAAGTCACTTATGGCCGAAGGGTAGGCTGTGGTGGAATACATATGGCTGCAAGTTCTTTGCCATTCTTGCCACTGAAAGGTAGTATGCTGCTTTTCCTTTAGAATCTGGACTGGCCTTGTGACTGCCTTGAAGAAAAGATTTCATAAGATGTAGCTTTTTGTGGCTTCAAATGCTACAACTTGAAAGGTCTATGGCTTTAGCATATGTGTATGTAATGCACTGTCTCAGAACCCACCGTGCTTTTTGAAGACACACAGAGTACCACGTGGGATCTCCTTATGAAGAAGTTATCGGCCACAGTGGGCAACTGCCAACATGATGAATGAGCACATTTGGACCTCCCAGTCATCATCCTGCTAGCAGGTACCATGAAGTAGAAGAACTTCCCACAGAATCCTGAGAAAAAGAGCTTAATCTTAAAAAAGCCATCATACTCTGGTTTCTCTTCAGATCGTATAAATCTTTTGCCTTTTAAAAAAAGCCATCAGGATTTGGAACATGTAGTGAAGTATACCAAAATCTCTCCTTATATGATGCTGAGTTCTAGCCACATGCCTCCCACGCCAGTTCAGGGCTCTATCACCTTGAATAACCCTGCATAAACATCAAAAGATTTTTCCCTGCATTTTTCATTCTTTGTACGCTTAGTTTATTGTACAGTCATTATCCATTATGTGCTAGAAACTGGAGGGATGTAATAATCATAGGAATAGGATCTAAATCTGTTCGTCTCCCACTTCTCCAAGGACCTCTATCCATGTTGCTAGAAGTGATTAAATTTTAATTCACAGGAACCTAGCTTTTGTTACTGTGATGAAATGCCTGAGATCGTTACATTTAAAAAGGAAAGGTATATTTTGGTGTATGGTTTTAGAGGTTTTTGGTTCAAAGTCAGTTGGACCTGTTTCTTCAGGTCCTATAGTAAGACAGCAGGAGAATGTGGCAGAGGAAGCTACTTAGCTTATGGTGGCCAGGAAATGACAGAAAAGGGAAGGGACCCGGTCCCAGTATCCCCTCAAAGGCATCCCTGCTATAAATTCTTCTCTAACTCTTAAAGTTCTACCCTCTCAGTAGTTCCACGACTGGGAGCCAAACTTTCAACACATGAGCCTGGGGAGAACATTCAAGATTCAAAACATAACGTAACTGTTTCATCTTTTCTCTCTTTTGAAACATATAAAATTTACTTGTCTTATTTCTCACCCCCATGAGTGAAATAGACTTTCAGCTGTCTGTGTTTGTGATCTCTCCTCCTTTAGTCCATCTCTGTTGCTCACTTACTCACTTCCTTTCATACCTGAGTCTGTGAAGGGCTCATGTAGGAGGTGGTAGCTATGACTCTGTGGTCTGTGCAGGGGACAGAGCATCCTAGATCTCTAGTGCAACTTCCATGAAGACTTAAAAGGTAGACGCTTTTGCCAGATAGTTTACTAGCAATTTATCATGTGAGTTTCCTCCTTCCAGGGATAATTCTGGCCTCACCTAGACCACTTGAACTGCTGTGTGGAAGTGGGGCTTACAACTAGGCTTCTTACAAAAATGGTTCCAGTCAGAAGCCAACCAAGACTGAGAACTGCTAGCATAGACTTGTGATTCTCTAAAGCTGGTCCCTGGACCAGTAGCATCAATATTAAATAAGCATTTGTTAGACATGCATAGACCTAATAAATCAGAAACTCTTATTGTGGGCTCTATTACTGTGTTTTACTTTTGGTGACTTTTATGGACATTGATGTTAGAGAAATACTGTACTAGCTAAATCTTAGTTTCCTTTCTTGGTCTCAAAACTGCAGCTAAGGGACTGGGGCTGTACCTCAGCAGCACAAACGACTGCCTGGCAAGCACAAGGTCCTGAGATCAATTCCCTGTACAAAAAAAAAAACTGCAGCTAAGTTGGAAAGAGTGTTTGTTACAAAAGTCTCTGTGCTGGTGTGATGTGAAAGAATTAGTAAGGAACATAAGGCAAGTGTGTATCAGGTGTGTCCTTGCCAGTGGTCACCTAAGTACAGGAGAAACGTCAAATGCTTGTCCGCCAGTTTCTAAAAAGTAAAGGGATTATTTAGCACAAAGAAGAGGGGTAAATTAATCAGAAATACATTGTTTCCTAGAGAAAGAACTCAAAGAGGTAAATTTAAATCTCAGTTAGATGAAGGCAAGACCCAAGAAACGTAGTGATGGGAAGTAGCACTAAACCTTTGTGAAGGATGTAAGATGATTTTTAAATCAAGTTTTAGAGAGTCCTGTAGAGAACCCGCTCTATTTGCCTAAAATCAGAAACAGGTCTTTGAAGTAGCATCCACTCTCAGCATATAATGACTCTAAATGCCATCTGATCATCATTTGTTTATTTTTCACTGGTTATTTTGGAAATGCATTCAGAGTAAAAGAAAGACTACTGGGAAATAAAGATGACTCACTTGATGTTGTTGTTCCAGTCTTAGAGATTTTGGGATGACATTGTCAGATGAATTCATGTGCTTTGAGAAGCTTTTATGACTTTCTGGTGAGATTTAAAAGTTAAAGGAATGGGATTAGGATCATAAAATTCATTTACTCTTAATATTATTTCCTTGAACTGACTTAATGCATTTGTATATTAGAAATGAGGATCTTACTTGGATTGAATCCTCATTATTTGCTACAATATGGTCTGGAAAAAGTATGGGGCACACATCAGCAGCATTAAATGGTATAATGGCTCTAACTCCAGTTAAGCCCTTCAGTTAGAAAAATTAGCAGCATTTGACATACAGGAATGCTTGAAATGTTTCATGGATCCTTAAATCCAGGTGCTATGCATTTGAATATTAAATCTTAGATAATTCAAGAGAAAATATGTAATAGAAAAATATTTAACTAAGAAAGTAGATTACACGGTATGTAGCCATGCAGCTGGAGACTTTGCTGAAAACTAATTTGCATCCTTGTTTTTCAAGATTATAGTGAACTCAGTTATAACGCAGATGTTGAAGGAAAGAGTTAAATAGCTTTTTCTCCAGCATTTGAGAAAACTGAGATGGTGGCATAGTTAATTGGATTTAATGAGGCCTTGTGGTGTGGTGGGGACAAGGCTTGGGATTTGAGTTCTTAAGTTCCACAAATTTTATTTCTTGCCAGCTTTGTTACTTTGAGCAAGGTTGATTCTTTGGGCCAGTTGTTTTCCATGTCTTTAATATGTGAAAGGAGTACCATTTATTCCAATGGCTTGTTAAATGAATATAAGTGAAATACTCTATGAAAGTAGATAAGCAGATATTAGATTATTAATAATAGATTTTTATTTGTTCTTATTGACAAGGAACCCATCAAAGTAAATTTGAATTAGATGGATAGAGGATAGTTTATAGTTTTCTTGTTTTGTTTGTTTTGTTCTAGTGGGGGATTGAACCCAGGCCGGCCAGCTGGCCAACCTGCCTGCCTGCTAAGTTTATAGTTTTTAAAAAGGAAAACAGGAAAATTTCTTTACAATGAATTTTCAAGTTAGAATAATTATGATAATGCTCTATTCATTTGTGATCCTGCTGATGGGTTCATAGTCATTTGTCATTATGATTATTCTAGAATACTGCTGTCAGTTGGAGTTGATGTGTCTCTTTTTCATAGAGACAGAGTCAAAAAGTAGAACATCCCATCAGCGAAGGAGTGGATAAAAAAAGATGGTCTTTTTATGCAATGCAGTGCTACTCAGCCATATAGAAGGATAAGCTAGAGACTTTTATAAGTAAATGGATGCAACTCAAGACCACACTCACAAAGGAAATAAATCAGACTCACATGTGTAAACATCGTTTACATGAAAAGCTGAAAGAGTAAGTAAGGTCCAAAATATACAATAGATACTGTGAAGTGGGAAGAAACTGTTCAAAAGGAAAGAGAAACTGGGATGAGGGAAAGGAGAAAAGAAGAAAGGGAAAATAAAATACATATATATGACAGTTAAAGTAGTTAATAATTAGGATAGTTATTACTAATTTCTCTTAATTCACTGAAAGAAAAGTTTATGCTAATATTGTTTGGATTATTAAATGCCTATATCTTGTACTTTCAGTAACTAAAGATGCAAATTATTAATCATTGTTACTCTTCTATTATCTTGTTTTGAAATTTTGGGATTTTTTTCTCTTTAAAATAATTTTTTTTAAAGTAGAACATATATTTGTAATATTTAAGGAAAGCTGTTACATAAGAATATCATGGCTGAGTAGCATTCCGGTATTATGCAGTAATCCTTTCTTGGCACATTATAGATGCAATGCTGTGGAAGGATGTATAAAATGTTTGAGGTCTCATAGCACTGAAAAATTAATTTTCCCACTCAATTTTTTTTTCAACTTTTAAAAATTCTATCATAAGAGAATTTTCTGACAACTCAGACTTACATATTTAATTTAGCTCTTTCATTATTTAGTAATGGCCTTTATTAATCTACAGAGTTTATGGCTAGGTATATAGGGTTTGTTTTCATTACTGGGGGTTAAACCCAGGGGACATCTACCACTGAGCTGCATCCCAACCTCTCTTTATTTTTATTTTGAGTCAGAATCTCACTAAAATGTTAAATGGCTCATGTTGGGCTGAAACTTGTGATCCTCCTGCCTCAGCCTCCTAGAGTAGTGGGACTACAGGCATGTGCCACCACCCCCGGTTCAGCTAGCTATATTTAATGACTAATAAATTCAAGAAATTTTTAGGCATATGTCTGAGCCATGTATAGAAAAGTGTTATATCTTTTTCTGATGAAACTGGTAGGCTAAATTTTTGGAGCATTGAGACTTCTTATTTGCATAGATGTACAGTTTTAAATCAGGGAACAGAAATTACATGGTTTGACAAGCCAAGCCATCTGATAAATGCAAATAAGACCAACTGTGTATGAGGTTGAGTGAGAGAAATTAGCATATGTAAATTACTGGGAGAAAGCTAAGTGTTATAGATACAGAATTTTAAAATATGTTGCACCTAAATTTCTGTAGAAACTTCTCTGTGATTTAAACAAAGTTCAGGGAGTAACTATGATCTGATGAGTGTGGGTGGTGTCATGAATTACAGCTTTGCCAAAATGGGCTCCTCTGTGAAAAGGAAAGCGGCTTATGGAGATCAATCAGCCGTAACGTGTCTGTTGATGAGGAAGGTCTTTGGAAAGAGTGTCTCCAGTGTTTTTATTTGAATGAGTCCATGTCTTTCAAGATATGTATGTTTTCTCGTAGAATGAAGACAAACTCAGAGATGGTGTGTCTAAGAAATTTCAAAAGGTGTAGACCTCCTGATTGAAGCATAGCTGATATATTTGACTCATTTTTTTCCATTATAGTAAGTATAACTAATTTTGGTCAGCACTGGCTTGTGTTCCTAGTTTCATAAATCTCTTATTTTCTGTCAGATACCTTTATCATCGTGTGAGCTGTTCGTTTTCATTCTTCTGCAATTTCAGTTGCGTAACTTAAGTGAATTTAGCTCTCAGGAACCCATAGAGGACAAATAAAATTATAAACTCTGAGCTGGAAAAGCCCTTTAAAATTACCTGGTGCACTCTCTTTATCCATTACAGGAAATTCCTTTGCAACCTCCTCGATGGATGGTCATTTTATCCATGTAGACCCAGCTGGGGATGGAAGCTAAATTCTTTTGAAGATCTACCATTTCTGTGATGTTCCAGCAACAGACTGGATCAAAATATGACTTTCTAAATCTTGTATCCACCTAGCTCTGCCTCTGAAACAAAGCTGTTTATTCTTTTATCCACAAGGTATTTGCACAAAAATGTAAAGATAAATTCTCAGTTTCTGCTAGTCAATTTTATCTCAGCTGAATATCATCAATTCCCTATTTCCCCTGTAGGGAATGGTTTTAGGTTGTGGCTTCTGATTATTTTGTTGCCTGTTTCATCTCTAACCTGTAATTGAGCATTAGGGTTCCAGGGAGACGCAGAACCCTCACCTTTTATCTGGTTCACTGTCAGCGTGGCCAAAGGTTACGTAACACTGTTTTGGCATAAGAGCTGCTGTATGACTGGCTGAAGTTGTACGTGTTTGATTAAAATCCGTAGGTTTTTTTTTTAAACATGTTTTTTCATCCAGTAATGTTTCTGCTACTCCACCCCTCAACGCTGCATTGTGTTTATGGTATTGTGGGACCTAAGGGCAGAATTATTTATCCCACATACCCTCTTTCTTTGGGGTTTTGTCCATGTCCTTAAATTATAAAACCAGAGCTGAGAGAGGAAAGGAGGTAACCCATTCAGGGACAGTTCACCTTGAGGAGGAATGGGTAGATTCCTGTAAGCCTGAAGGATAGTTTTATAAACTCAGCTTGCTCACAAGATACTCCTTGTGGTGACTGAAACAACACTTAGGCTCCCTAGTTCCTGCTGCATCGTGGGGCAGGGTGTGGAAAGAAACTTACTCAGATCTTTTAGGGGTATGAAATGGACAAGCTAGTAGTATAAAAATAAGTTTTTACCAAGTCAGCTGAAGAAAATTTTTAGTAACCCAGGCCGGAGTTTAGATCTGGGAGGTAAGTAAATAATTACCTCAAGGCCTACCCCAAATCCCTTAATAGAGCGACTCTCTCATGAAATGGTCCCTTTACAGTACAGAGTTGAAGTAGGCTGCAGTTTTAAATGAAACCAGAAGACTTATGTACCCTTGATCAGCCCTGCCTCATACATCCTACCCTTGAGCTAAATCCTACCTAGGTAACACGTTATGTATAAGGATTAGAGTTAATGCATAATTTGAGTACTTATTTCACTAGTGCGTCCTTTCTTTTCCTCCTGCAGTTTTTGCACTCATCCAAGGGAAAGTCATGATTACACTAACAGAGCTAAAATGTTTAGCAGATGCCCAGTCATCGTACCACATCTTAAAACCATGGTGGGACGTCTTCTGGTATTACATCACTCTCATCATGCTGTTAGTGGCTGTGCTGGCCGGAGCTCTCCAGCTTACGCAGAGCAGGGTTCTGTGCTGTCTGCCCTGCAAAGTGGAATTCGACAATCACTGCGCCGTGCCTTGGGACATCCTGAAAGCCAGCACGAACACATCCTCTGCTTCTGAGACACCACTTCCTCTCCCACTCCGAATCCAGAATGATCTCCACCGGCAGCAGTACTCCTACATTGATGCTGTCTGTTATGAGAAGCAGCTCCATTGGTTTGCAAAGTTTTTCCCCTACCTGGTGCTCTTGCACACTCTTATCTTTGCAGCCTGCAGCAACTTCTGGCTTCACTACCCCAGTACCAGCTCCAGGCTGGAGCATTTTGTGGCCATCCTTCACAAGTGCTTCGATTCTCCGTGGACCACCCGGGCCCTGTCAGAAACAGTGGCCGAGCAATCCGTGAGGCCCCTGAAACTCTCCAAGTCCAAGACTTTGCTTTCAACCTCAGGATGTTCAGCTGATGTTGATTCCGGCAAGCAGTCCTTGTCCTACCCACAGCCGGGCCTGGAGTCAGCTAGCATAGAAAGCCCAACTTCCAGTGTCCTGGACAAGAAGGAGGGTGAACAGGCCAAAGCCATCTTTGAAAAAGTGAAAAGATTCCGCATGCATGTGGAACAGAAGGACATCATTTACCGGGTGTATCTGAAGCAGATCATAGTCAAAGTCATTCTCTTTGTCTTCATCATAACTTATGTTCCATATTTTTTAACATACATCACTCTTGAAATTGACTGTTCAGTTGATGTGCAGGCCTTTACGGGATATAAGCGCTACCAATGTGTCTACTCCTTGGCAGAAATATTTAAGGTCCTGGCTTCATTTTATGTCATTTTGGTAATACTTTACGGGCTCACCTCCTCCTACAGCTTGTGGTGGATGCTGAGGAGTTCCCTAAAGCAATATTCCTTTGAAGCACTAAGAGAAAAAAGCAACTACAGTGATATCCCAGATGTCAAGAATGACTTTGCCTTCATCCTTCACCTGGCTGATCAGTACGATCCTCTCTATTCCAAACGCTTCTCCATATTCCTGTCAGAGGTCAGCGAGAACAAACTGAAACAGATCAATCTCAACAACGAGTGGACCGTTGAGAAACTGAAAAGTAAGCTTGTGAAAAACTCCCAGGACAAGATAGAGCTGCATCTCTTTATGCTCAGTGGTCTTCCCGACAATGTCTTTGAGTTAACGGAGATGGAAGTGCTAAGCCTAGAACTTATCCCCGAGGTTAAGCTGCCCTCTGCAGTCTCGCAGCTGGTCAATCTCAAGGAGCTTCATGTGTACCACTCGTCCCTAGTGGTGGACCATCCTGCACTGGCCTTCCTAGAGGAAAATTTAAAAATCCTCCGCCTGAAATTCACTGAGATGGGAAAAATCCCACGCTGGGTATTTCACCTGAAAAATCTTAAGGAACTTTATCTGTCAGGCTGTGTTCTCCCTGATCAGTTGAGTACCACCCAGTTGGAGGCTTTTCAGGACTTAAAAAACCTGAGGACCCTCTACCTGAAGAGCAGCCTGTCCCGGATCCCCCAGGTTGTTACAGACCTCCTCCCTTCACTGCAGAAACTGTCCCTTGATAACGAGGGCAGCAAACTGGTTGTGTTGAACAACTTGAAAAAGATGGTCAATCTGAAAAGCCTAGAACTGATCAGCTGTGACCTGGAACGCATTCCGCACTCCATTTTCAGCCTGAACAATTTGCATGAGTTAGATCTAAAGGAAAATAACCTGAAAACTGTGGAAGAGATCATTAGCTTCCAGCATCTTCAGAATCTTTCCTGCTTAAAGTTATGGCACAATAACATTGCTTATATCCCTGCCCAGATTGGGGCATTATCTAACCTAGAGCAACTCTTTCTGGATCATAATAATATTGAGAATCTGCCCTTGCAGCTTTTTCTATGCACCAAACTACACTATTTGGATCTAAGCTATAACCACCTGACCTTCATTCCAGAAGAAATCCAGTATCTGAGCAATTTGCAGTACTTCGCCCTGACCAACAACAATGTAAGTAAATCCATGCTTGCTAGTCTTTTGAGGCTCTGCTGTGCTTGAAAAAATATGTCAGTGTTGGCATAGTTCAGGCACATAGTAGTTGCTCAACGAATGTTCGTTCTCTGTATCCCCTTTCCCCATTCCCTACATGAACATCACAGTTTAAGTATTTTAAATGAATTGGTGAATTATGGTGGAGCTTACTTTTTATGTTGGTAAGTTCTTCAGTGCTTATAAAGCTTGGTAAAACTCTGCAGCCTCTTAAATGTGCCATAAGAGGATAACTTTTTGTTTAAAAATACTGAGATTATGAATTATTCATAAATCCTTTTTGTGATGCAGTTAAAAAAAGAAAGACTTGACATCTGCTTGGATATCTAGAAACACAATTCAAAATGAAAGGCCTGGCTCTATAATGCAGCACCAGGGCTTCTTAGAAGCCTTTTCCAGCGTCCATGCTTAAAAATGAATCATAATTTTCTACAGTAAAGCCAAGTAAGGAAAATGTAACTTCACTGAAATAAAAAACAAAATAAATGAGTAGTTTTGTAGGTTAAAATGGGAAGGGGGAGGAAAAAGAAAAAAACTTGGGCTAAGTCTGAAGGGGGTAGGAGGGTGAGGATCATGTCCAAGGGGGAACAGAAGTTAGATTGGCCAAGACAGGAAACTGATCTTCCTCTACTTGAAAAGCTGTTTTCTCCGACCCCACCCAAAAATGTATTAACTGCTGTTAATACTGCTGTTTTCTCCGACCCCACCCAAAAATGTATTAACTTCTAGACCTTTTGTAATTCGTATTTCATGCTAAACATAGCCATGAGTGTGGTGTTGGCTAGTGAACACAATTGTCAGACGTTATTGTTGAAAACCGTGGATGTGAGAGAAATGCCAAAAAATTGGAAAATGAGAAGAAAATACATGCTGATTTTTTTTTTTTTTAGAAATCTGAGACTTTGCTCATATATAAAAGGAGAAAGTCTGTTCTAAGATATGTGAGAAATCTTCAGTTATGAAGTTTTAAACCTACATTAGGATCAATCTAGACTGGTAGGATTACCTGAAGAGCTTGTTAAAACACAGATTACCAGACCCCTCCAGGTTTCTGATTGAGTTGTCTGGTGTAGTGTGTAAGAATTTGCATTTCTGAAAAATCTCTAGGTGAAGCTGATGACCAGACTTTGAAAACCTCAAAACTAGAGGTTTATCATTTAGTGCTTAATTTTGCAGTTGATTAACATTAATATTTGGTCACACATTTTCCATTGTTAGGTTAGTAGTAAAGAGGCATAGATAATTATTTTGCGAAGCATTAGTTCTTCTAACTTGTTACAGTGCATGAATTTTTGAAAGACACAACTGATTAAATTGTTACCTGGCCGCCATTATTTAAATATAGCAGCAGGTTAACACTTTTGCTAGGTGAAGTTAGCGAAACCTTAAGAACATTGGTGCTTTTGATACCAGGTTTTTGCTCTTGGCTGAGAGATTGGGGGAAGAATATCAGACATCTCCTTTATTGAATAAGTTCTGCCAGACATAGGGGAAGATAGTACATAGCACATGAAAAGTGTTAGGCTGAAAGTACTCTGTGGGCAAAGCAGAATAGTAGCTTTGAGTGTCCTGTCTCAGAAACCTGAGAAAAGGCGATTGCTAAGCGTCCTCAGAGCCAAAATGAAGAACATGATACCTTTGAATGGGTGAGGAACACTCACCTCAGAACCTAGAATCCAAAGAAACACTGTGAAGGCTTACTTAACAGATGAAGAAACTCACTGGAATCCACATAGAAGACAGCCTCCGGGAGACAAAAAGTTCCTCTTGGATGGAACCCTCCCAACTAACGACAGGGGTGTTGAAGCAGTTGGGAGTGAGATCAGTCTAACATATTGGGCTCGAGTATTTGGAAGATCTACATGGAGAACAATGCTTGTGGGGGGTAACCAGAAGTGTTAGAACTAGAACAACCAGGGAAAGATTTCTAATCATGTCCATACTAGCCACTGAACAGTGGCTAGAGTATTTTAGGAGGGAGAAGGGATTTTCTCACTACCAAAACTCACCAGGTACAGATTACCAGCCACTTGGTGGAAGTGTTGTTAGCAGGAGTCAGGGATTCATGTTCCATGTGGAGATTTAACTATTTTGCAAGGTAGCATTAGATTCTCACGATTCTATGAGACCAAAGTACTTACGAAAATTAGAAAATAAAATATCACATTGGACTCCTAAATATTTAGATGTGACATTTTATTAAAAGTATACTGAGCAACTCAGTACTAGGAAAAGCAAAAAGGCTACAAAATCAAGCCTGGGCTAGTCACACACGAAATAAGCCACACAGCAGTGAGGACCACAGCCAAGGTGAAACACAAAAGTGAGGGTACCCTGCCGCTGCCCACACTAACACACCAGCACTGGACGCCAGTTCTGTCTCTGAAAACTACAGCAGGCCTCCCCCCGAACCCTCTACCCGACCAGAAAATCCCTGTTCCTCATAGTTTCCACCTTGACAGCCTCACTTCCAAGCTCCAGTCTGAGCACCTGGTCAGCACAGTTTTTGAACGTGCACACTTTAGCTGTAAGGGATAAGAATCTGGTGTGTTAGTTTCTGTAGTATGAAATGAGCTCTGCTTCCCACCAAGCCGTAAAGTAGGGAGTCCCCAGGTGGCAGGTACTCACTAACAGGTCATTCCAGAGTTTCCTGCGCAGGATGGTAACAGGTGCTATCACCCAAAAAGTATTTCTTTTCTAACCATATCCCTGCAGGAATCCTCAGCACTTGTAGCATATCATTGTGCACTGTGCTTCTCCAAAAGGAAAACGCAGTGTGCCGCATATACCGGCGTGTTTGAGCAAGACTCCTTTTTCATAATAGTGTGTGGGAGGGTGTTCCGTGAAACACACCTGAAAACACGGTATTAGGGGAATATAAAAGATGGAGCACATGCAAGGCAGTGCAATAGGATGCCCAGGTGTAATACGAGATGAATGTTTAACCAGGTGGGTGAGAATGGGGAGTGGCTGGAAGTGTGCCCTCCAGCATATGTTTGATTCACTGGACAGTGAGTAGGGTAAGACTGGAAAGTGCTAAGTAATCTGCACTAGAACCTTCGTAGGCAGCTCTGAATATGCATGTGGAGAATAGGGAGAGGGCACTGAAGAAGTGAAACCCCATGGAAAGGTTTAATCGATTTTGATTTCAAGGTAGAGATACAGATTTAAAGCAAGAGACAGAGCTGCATCTCTCAAATGAACATTGTGTATTGTCTGCTCCAAAGGTTGCAGCTTAATGGCTTGGGCTCACATCCACCCATAGCCTACTTTTATATGATCCAAGAAAGAGTAGTCTCTATGTTTTGTAATGAATCAGAGAACAGTCAAAAGGATAACATTTCATGACACATGAAAATTACATGGAATTCAAATTTCCAGTGTTCATGAATAAATTCCAGTCTTCTCATCAGTAGGCCTGCATTACAAAAAAGTTACACTCAAATGTTTACATTTTTAATTTCATCACTTAAAAGTGTATGTGTTGTGGGGCTGGGGATTTAGCTCAGCGGCAAAAGCGCCTGCCTGGCAAGCGTAAGGTCGTGAGTTCGGTTCCCGGTACCGGAGAAAAACCAAAAAAAAAAAAAGTGTATGTGTTGTTTATCTCGTTATATAAATGCATAACATGTTCAGATGTTCAGGGTGTGGTGTGGTGTTCAGATGGTGTGGAAGCTGGGAGAGAAGAAACAGTATCCGTCCCTCTCCAAGTGCTGAAAAGTCTTTGGATTATGCAGATTATGTTGGCATCTGTTTTGAGGGAGAAGTACAAGGTGTGGGAAAGGATTTAAGTAAAGTTTCTCAAATGTTATGAACCACTCTGATTTACATACATCCGTCTTTCAACTTGCACATTTGTACATTTATTCCTTTTATGAACTTCTAGCCTTAAAATAAATAATGTAGAAACTCCCTCTGAAGCTCATCTATGACAGTGCCTTTTATTATTGTTTTTACATCACTACTTAAATGGGAATATACCGCCTTGTTTCTTGAAATGATTGACTCCATGGGTTTAGTTACTGTGTCCTGAAATAACATGTATTTTAAAAAGGAAATCTAACACTGAGAAGGATTCTAAAGTGAGGTCCCACCCAGTCTTTGGAACACGGCAGGGTAGGGTACTCAGCTATCAGTGTCAGCCATAGATAAAGAGAACTATGGAAATAGAGACCATGTCCTTGGGACCCTAGTGCATTTTGAAGACACCTGGTTACCAAAGCTATAGAGTGGTAATATAGCCATTTGTTTTTCTATCCTTTTGTTTTTTAGTTTATTATACATTTTATATACGTTTATATTATATAGTATAGTTGATTCTATAAAACATCTTTTTGTGCATTTTATCATCTCTAATGGCTTGTAAATTTTTCCCTTGGCTTTTTAGAAAAACCAGTGGTCAATTTAAAGTAACATTTCCTCTCTGGCTCATGTGTCATGCTAAGAGACAGGGCACACTAAATGAATTAGATATAAATTAATCTTATGAAACATTTTTATAGAATTTATTGATAAGCAAAATGTGTTCCGTGTTCATGTAAACTTCAAGAAAGCTTTTTATTTGCAAGTAAATTTACTCATGATAAAATTATTGAGTTGGAAAGTCTTTGAGTTTCTTAATAAAGTTCCCCACGGTTCGTTAGGAAAATTGAATTGAGGTGGTGTTAGGGCCAGGATCTCAGCCGGGCGCTGGCAAGCAGAGGAAGCCCTGGCAGTGGGAGGGAATCCCACCAGCTACAGCCCCCCGATCACTCCTGGAAGCAGTGTTGAGAGGTCTTGGAGCCTCTGTCGGGGTGGAGAAGAGTGCCAGAACGCCAAGTGAAATCATCTGCTGTAGGATGAGAAGTCCACTGCCATCACAGATTTGGAGATTTGAAAGAGAACTGATGGGAACACAGTAGCGCTGACACCAGACTGGAGAGTAAGGACAGTGGTTTCAGGCTGATCAGCCAGTAGGAAATCAGCCCAGTTAAGCCACTGCTGGCAGTTAAGAGTTGACTGAAGAAGAGGAATGTGTATTCCCTCCTGCAGCTTGGGTTACCGCCCATTCCAGACTCACTCTTTCTTCATGTAATTGCTTCATGTTTCTCTATCTCATTAGACCAGTGCTTCTCAACTGGGGGTGGGGGGTGAGGAGGACTTAATCCGTCAAGGGATATTTACCTTGCAACATCTTCCTTTGTTCCAACAAGGAAGGAAAGTGGTGCCGGTGGGTATGTAGGGGCCAGGGATGTTGCTGAACGCACTACAATGCACAGGATGGCCCCATGGAGAAAGAATTGCCCCACCCAGGTGTCAGCAGTGGCAAGGCTGCGACGTTCCTGGCCACCTGCCTTAGATAAACGTTCTTGTTTGTTTATTTGTTTGGCACCTAGAACCTTAAACATGAGAAGTGCTCCACCCCTGACCTATATCCCCAGCCCTAACCGAAAGTTCATAAAGGCTGTCTTTCTGCTCCACACTCTCACCAGCACCTAGCTTTGAGCCTGGTAAAGAGGCTTTTAGCACATGCTCACTGAATGCATGTGAACTGAGCCTTCCCTGTTCTGTGTGGGTTTGCCGAAGTCATTACTGAGGCTCCACCAGGCACCCTCGGCCCTGGGCATACTCACAGGCCCACCTTTTCCCTCCACACGGGCCCCACCTCTGAGCTGCAAGTTTTCTGACCAGAAAGGGTGGCTTTCAAAGGCGTTGCATTCCCTCTGTCTCTCTCAGCTCTCTACCTCATCTCTCTCAACACTGAAGACCACCTGTACATGTAGATGCACATCCTCTGTTGAGAAGAAGTAAGTGTGTAGATAGTTTTCTTACGTTATACCTAATATTGTATCTTACAATGATCTGTGCAGAGTGTTGCTCTTAACAACAGTCATCTTTGGTTTATTTCCAAAGATAGCCAGCGCTGAATGTATGCAGCAGTGATGCAGAAGAGGGGGTTTCTAAAATAACAAGCATTTTTTTAATCGTTTGATCATCCTTTAGTTTATATGAAGAGTGTCTGTCCTTCGGAGGAGGGAGAGCTCTGGGCGGTTCTGGGAGCTCCTTCCCCAGCAGCGAGCTCAGTGGCTCTGTGTTAGCCCATCAAAGGATGGAGGCTGAGCCCAGGTGCCCGTCTAGCCCTATTTCTAACAAAGCTGCTTCCTGAATCAAGGAGCTTATACAGTGTACCATGCCACAGTGTCATAGGTTCCTCTTGTCCCCGGCCAACACCTGGCATAGGTGTGATCGCTTCTCAGCCGTGTGACAAATATCAAGTGTAGTATAGGTGAGCCGTGCCCCCCAGCAGTGCTTGGTTCAGACGCACCCCCACGGAGTGACGAGCTGAACGGAGCGTGTGCACCCCATTTCTTTGGTGGACTCGCCGCAATGAACCTGTGGCGCATGTGCACTGTGACCTCCCTAGAAACTCGCCTGGAGCCTGCCCCCCATACAGGGGAGCAGTCCCGTGGAGCAGGCTGTTTATTATATTTAAGTTACCCCTCTGACATGAGCTGTTCAATTGAAACCATGCCAGAGCACAGGAAGAAGGCTAAATACGCCAGAAATGGCCTTGTTAGAGACAGGGGTGAAAGGACCCTGGGCTCAGCCTGCATCCTCCGATGCACTGACACAGATCCACTGTGGCGGCTGCAGGGAGCGGGGTGGAGGGGATCAGAATGTATATGCATATATCACATCCACTTGTCTGTGCTTATGTAGACTAAAAAACAATCACGTTTCGGTTTATACCAAGGAAAACAGTATAGGAAGATTTGCGCCTGGTTTTAGGATGTTTTTAAGGATGCTGCTCATTACATACGCAGTAAACTCTTTATGAGGACTCTTGAGAGTAATTTACTTCAGATCCAGGCCTCAAGAATAATGATGATTCTCCTGAGTTACTGGGTTGTTGTTGTTGTATTTTAAACTTAGGACAGTGAGTTTGTTTCATTAAGGCTTGCTGGTTAGAATGCGCAGAGCCGAATCAGCTGCCCACCCTTGCACAGCAGCACTTCAGATGTTGTAAGAGCGTCATCCTGTATCCCGACAGTACTCTTGTCCCTACGTTCCCCACCTTTGTATCTACTCCCTTATCGCCATTGTTGATGTAGCCTTGTAAACCTGCAGGTGTGTTTTTAGAGTCATGCAGCTCAGGTCTCTAAGCAACTGAATGTACCATCGCGGTACCTCAGGCCAGGTTCACCAGCTTCTTTTCTTCCTCCCCAGATCGAGACACTACCAGATGGGCTGTTTCAGTGCAAGAAGCTCCAGTGTTTGCTTTTGGGGAGAAACAGCCTGACCGAGCTGTCCCCTCGGGTGGGTGAGCTGTCGAACCTCACTCATCTGGAGCTCACTGGGAATTACCTGGAAACACTGCCTCCGGAGCTGGAAGGGTGTCAGGCTCTGAAACGCAGCTGTCTGATCGTGGAGGACAGCTTGCTCAGCACGCTTCCGCTCCCTGTGACTGAACGTTTGCAGACATGCTTAGATAAATGTTGACCTAAAGATCAGGGACCCGCGTCTCAAGAGCAGTTTTGAAATTATGTCCCATTGCTTTAAAGGAGAAATAATTCCTTAAATTATAAAACTCAAAAATGGGTGATGATTATGATCCACCAAGTATCTTGCTAAAGCAACTCAGTGTCTGTCCTGAAGTTAAATAGGTAAAAGTGTTAACGCTGAACTGCAATCTTGTAAGTAATTGATTTTTAATTTATTGAGATATTATAAGAAGTATACATTGAGGATGGATTGAGAGGCATGAAATTATTAAATCTTTACCTTGCAGTTTTTACCCTTAAAACTACAAGTGTTCTTCTTTCTTTCCAGTCCCTATTACTTATTTGCACACTCGCTTTTACTGACTTCCTGCTTTGATGTTTGTCACCGAAATCACAACTCATCAGTATAAATTTCCTTGATGTATGCTCACCGCTGTCTGTGATTTATGCTCTGACATGTTTTTAGGCAGGCTGTATTACGCTTGGCAGAATTCCCTTTGGCTTAATTTTTACTTCCTTTCCCGGCTTACTTGAGTCTTCCTTAATCTCTTTTTCTTTGAACAGCCATGAGAAGCCCTGAGAAAAACGCCTGCCTTTGGCCTTTGCCTGGACAGGGTCGTTAAGATTTGTCATCTTTGGAGCATTCCAAAAATCAATATATTCTCAAAAATTTCTTCGTGTCTATTATTGTCAAAGCCTTTTTATTTGTTAAGAATTTTATATGAAATGTAAAACAAACATTTTCTACTGCGTGATCTTGGATCCTATTCTGTGAAAATGATTTTTGTAAGGTACAGAGAGCACACACACTTCTGCAAGAACTCCTAATACTTGGTTTGGTCTGTTTATGATTCTCGTGTTTGTGTGCATTCTGTACCAAAATGATTTTTATACTCTGCCACTAATTACTTTCGGATAACAAAAGGCTTATGTTTTATGCCCTAAAATATTTGGGGGTTTCCTTGTGAGAGGATGACTACATCATCTCCCTCTTCTACCCCCGCTGCTGTGCAATTGCATGGGTACAATTCTTTTTGTGTGTGTGTGTGTGTGTGTGTGTGTGTGTGTGAGACAGGATCTAAGTAGCTCACACTGGCCTTGAACTCGCTGTGTATCCAGGCTGGCTCAAACTCATGGGGATCCTTCTGCCTCAGCTTCCTAAGTCTGAGATTTGAGGTATACCCCACCACCCGCAGCTTACAATTCTTAATTACTTGTAAAACCTATGGTGGAGAAGAGAGAGACCGATTTAGATTTTAGAGCTGATTTTAAAATACTTTGTAGAAATTCGGTGTTAAAGCAAAATGCATTGTTTCCCTCCATCTGCATGACGTCTAGATGTAATAGAAAACACTCAGTGTCTATTCAGTATCTAAGATGAGCTTTCAGAGCTCACATAGAAATGAACCCAACTGAAGTTCATCTCTTGCCTTTAACTCTCCTGGAATACACTTTGCTCCTCTTCGTAAAGACCTTTGCGTTTGACCTTTTATTATGCACACTGTTGAAGAAATAAAACTGACACACTCACTTTTGGGAAATGTGCATTTTTAATGTGTTTTTCTCTAATGGGTCTAGGCCTCATGATGCCACCTCATTTTAGATGTAACTATGAAGTAATCTATTGACCATCTAGATAAAACTGGAAAATAGTCTAGAGAGAAAGAGCACTGTAAACATGGAACTGTGCTGTGGGGTGTATGTTTTCTCTAGCTTTGTTCCAGCAAGGTGAAAGTCAGCGTTTAGCCAGGCGTGGTGGCACACGCCTGAATCCCAGCACTTGGGAGGCCCAGGCAGGAGGATCATTGCGAGTTTGAGGCCAGCCTGGGCTGCAAAGTGAGTTCAAGACCAACCTGAACTGCACAGTGAGACCTTGTCTCAAAGAGACAAAAAAAGAAAGTAAGTGTTCAGAGCAGCGGCAGCAAACCCATGGCACACGTGCCGCAGCAGGCTGTTTGTTCCGGAAAGCTCTGAAAGCTTTGCCATCCCTGGCGAGTATGACAAATGTAGCTTCTCTCACCTGCCACACATGCCTGGGCTGAAGTTCAGAGACAGAATTATTCACGTCAAATGAAATTTGAGTATTAGCTATAAAGAATATATGACACCCAAAACTGCCTAACACAGTGTTGTGTATTCTGAGTGGGAAAGAATGGTATAAAGATTTGCTTCTTACCAAAACTTGCCTTTAATCAGAACATGTACGTTCTCAGGAATCCAGGCGTAACTGACGAAGCTGTCTTTCAGGACTTCACCAAACAGATTCTGACTCTACCCAGGGCTGTGTTATTCTCATTTACTACAATGTGAGTTGATGGTATTGTACTGCTTCCTAGTAGCACTGCTGTGTGTACCGATTCCAGGGTCAGATAGGAATCTCTTAAGTTTTGGACATGAGTGTAAAGCACGGAGAGATGTTTAAATGTTCTTGGCCACATAATTACACATAATGTGTATGAGAAACCTTACCCTGTTTTACAGTTTTCAAAACAAAATTCGAATGTGCTACCATTCACCAAACAAACTAGAACTTCTCCGTGACGAAGCGCAGGTTCTGTTCAAGTGCAGATGAATCTCATCACCTGTGAAGGTTTGGAGAGCAGCTTGCAGAGGATGAATAATGAATGTGTACGCTGCTTCCCACACACTGAGGTGGTTGCTCTGCAGACTGTGTTGCTCTTGATGCCGGAGCTTTCCAGTGTCTTTGTCATTTAGATCCTGCGCACCAGAGTTGCTGTAGGTTTTGACACAGCACAGCCCTGCTGCAGTAACAGGGACACTGCTCTCTGGTGTGGGAAGATGTGGTGATCCTGCGCTGACTGCACTGTTGGGGCAGATCTTTATTTTACAGGTGTTCATATTCACTTAAGAGCATTTTACATTTAAAAAACGAAGTTTGCTCAGTTACAATCATGAGACTTTGGTTCGCTTTTGATTTCCAAGAATGTATTTTCCAAAAACTAAATGTAGAGATTTAAAAACAGTGTTTCTGGGTTAGGCAGGCAGTGGCATTGGTTCATTTCATTTGCACATACACACTCGCATAGAGACACACATGTTCCATGTACGCAAACTGTAACATTATTTTGCAATATGGAAAAATTGCAAGAGGTCATAGACTAATATAAGGATAGAAGTCTTTATAAATTCATTACTTGTAATCAGGAAGTATTCTGTCCCCTTGTAAGAAACCAAATACTCAACCTCAGTTTGAGAACAGAAGTGTTTGGAGCTGTAGTGTCCTTTCCCTCACCTCCGTCAGGGTGTCTGTGTGGAACAGAGGTGCTGTATTTTCATTTCCTGCCCTCAGTCTTAGCCTTTTTCCCCTGCATGTCACCACAGTTGACTATCACCTGACATTCACGTTATGTAAAACAGAGTAAATGAGATCTTCAGCGTGTCGTTGTGGCAGAGCTCTGATAGGTGTGCTCTGGTGTGCAACAGTGATTTCTGTGTATAACTTGATCATTTGATAGTGAAATACTTGTTTTTCAAGTATTTCATGACTCAGATTTTATGTTTAATTAAAACATTTCATAATGTTGATAGATTCATTAAAATAATCAATTATTCTGTGGACTTGACAGTATTTCTCTGTTTTTCAATAAAATTACCTTTGTGCCTTTATGTTCTCTTAGCACTGTACTGTCCACATAAGGTATTTTGTTTTCCTTCGACATCCACATACCCCACTAAATCTGATCAGCGCTTGTATAGTAACAATGTATTTGTGCTAGAAGATTTGCAGTGATACCTGAGCTTGTTTATTTGCAAGGGAGCCAGCACTGTAATTATACCTGAGTAGTTCTACTTTATCCATCCCTTTCATATTTTGAACTGATCATAGGATCCTTCATCACCAGAAACTACCAAAATAGCGTAGGTCCAGTTTGTTTTAACTGTACATTACATCAGAATCTGTTTCTTTCTGGAAACAAGAGAAAGACTGGTGGAAGGGGAAAGGAGTTATTTTGTATCCTGGTTTATATTCTGAAGGTATTATGTATGTGAAATGGTATAAACCAATAATGTTGCAAAATGCCCTGGATATCATTAGTTCTTATCCTCAGCCAGAAGTTAAATGTGGAAGCAGTTAAAAAAAAATTCAATCTTAGCTGGGTGTGGTGGTGCAACACCTGTAATCCCAGCCCTTGGAAGGCTGAGGCAGAATCACCACAAGTTCAAGCCCAGCCCAGGCTTCATAGTGAGTTCATGGCCAACCTGAACTACAGAGTGAGAACCTGTCTAAAAAAAGAAAAACTTTGGTCTTATTTAATTGGTCTCTTCTTCATTGCTTCTGTATCAAGTGATAACTATCTTCTAAGTACCTTTGGTAATGGACTGCATTTTTAAAAATTTTCTATATGAACAGTTTAATCAACACTAAAGCATTAACACATATATGAGCCAAAGTAATGAGCTGAGACAGCCTCTGGTTGAACTTTATTTCATATTTAAATTTTGCATTTAACTGATAAACATACTATTGCAGAGAAAATTACAAATGCCATCTGCATGTTTCACATTATCTCTAACAGAGATGGTGCAGTTTTAAAAATACAAAGGCGTAGAGAGTTAGAATGGATTTGTTTGTGCACATGTATGTTGTGTGTCAGCCTCAATGCTAACATTGTACAAGAAGATTTTTTAAATTCTTGAAATATTTTGCTCTTAGTGACATAACGGGCCAGTCCTGAGTAGGCGTTTTGTTAGTTCACAGGAAGGGACAGCATTTATTATTGTATCTTTGTCGCATATTTGGAAACTTGTTTAATTGGTTTTGGTTCTGGTAATAAGTTATTAGAAAATGTAAGATTTTGTTCACTGTTTTTGGCCCTCAGGTTTAAACTTCTACTGAATCCCTCAGATCCAGTAGATTTTTGGTAAATTTTACTGTTTTTAAAGTATCTTTTGTGCAAAAATAAAGGTTCAATTTTTATAATAAATGGCAAATAAAAACATTAAATTCTGGAAGGTGTTGGCTGTACTCATTTTTATCTGTGTTCACTTCTCGGGGCCCAGGTTGACCCCTCCCCCTGCGCATCCCTCCCTCACAGCTGGGCCATTGTTTTCCTGGTGGTGAGTTCAGATTTACGTGTGAATCTCATGACAGAGTTTTCAAACTGTACCACAGTGGCCACAAAGCAGGGTGCTGTCACTTTTGTGCTGGTCTCTTTCAACAGTGTCTGTCCTTGAATTTTTTTCAGGGACGGATACCTAGAAACCAACCTTCTCTCACTGTCAACACCTATTCCTCGATTTAGTATTAATGTAACAGTAACACAGGGTGGTGGACCAGATA